TTTCTTGCATAGAGGGACCCGTGAATAAATACTTCACATTTCTCAACGAATACCTCAGTGTAAACAGTTCTACGTGAAATACTGAGTTCGGGAATGGGATTGTTCTTCCAGGGATCAGTCCTGTAGTACGCACCATCTGGACGGCATACCAACTTGACCCTTGCTTATTTCAGGTTCGCTCCTCGGTCGAAGCAATCCTAAACCTTGCTAAACAGATAGTAGGTTCGGTGATTAGGGAAGGTTGGTCATGAGGCCATTAATCTCACCCCTGAAAAGCCACCTCGCTACTGAAACTTCAGAGCTCAAGCTTGAAGCCCTATGTCCTACTCGGAACGCTAATCAATGAAAAGTGGCACTGTTCATTGTGGGGTATGCACATGTATGTGATTGTCGACAGACATTTATATTACACGAATTTGTAACTGTGGAGATGATTCCATGTCTTTCTAACTACAACAATGATAAAATGACTTCACTGTCACTACAAATACCAAATATGAACTGCCATCAACAATCCTGTAATATTATCTTTGTAATTGTTTCTAGCGTTCATAAATAAAATTGGATGCAGTATTGTACCAAATGCTGAAAATTCCACACTGTATAATTAGTACTGTTTTGGAATAAGTGGAAATTATTGTTAGTAGTAGTAGTAAATTTCCAGCCAGCACACTGTACTTTGCTGTAATACCTGAATGGTGAAAATTTATCTTCGACGTTTTTTTTATCACATGTCATTTTTTTATTCATTGCTCTTCGTTACAACTGAAACCTAAATCAGTGATAACACCTAATGAATTATATGTTGACTCGCTGGAGGATTTCATCATGAGCTGATTGATATCAGTTGGAGAACCGTTGGAAAAGCTGTGAGTACTGGACAGCTGCTTCGTCCTAGTTTGGGACTCTTCATCAGTATGCATCCACCAGGGTTCTAATTGATGTCAGCTCATGATGAAATCCTCCAACCAATCAAACGAAAAATTCACTACAAAACAAATACTTGAAAATATATGTTGGCCTGAAATTGTTCTTGTCGAGTTTGAATTTCTTCATTTGTGTCTTTTAGTCATAAGTCACGTGTTCGGTTGAAAAATATGCCTTTCTATTTTGAAAACCAGTCATTCATTCTTGTTATGATTCAAATGACCTTTTTGTAAGTTTGAAAATATTTAACCGCATTACATTAGGTCATATGAAGACAAAAAACAGGTGAACTGCTCAAACTGAACTACGATTATTTAGTTTAAGTCTCCTAAAACTATGTCAAAAACCAAATGCAAAGTTTTGATAGGTCATTCATTTCGAGGTTATTGATGAACTGCCCTTGTGGCTACTAGTAATTACATTTGAAATTAAACATTCAAAGTTAAAACTGACACGAATATGCGTGAATTGCCTTCACAAAACACACGGAAAGATTTTTGTGGAAATTTATGTTTATGTTTCAAGTGGCCGAAAAGGAAACTTAATGGAAATTTAAAAGACTCAAGACCATTAAATAGATCATTCAGGAATAAAAAGAGGACTACTAATGGAGAATGTAACTCACTTGAAGGGAAGAGAGGAGAGTCAGAGAAGAATAAGCGGTAAGTGATTGATTTGACTCATTTAGTTATTTATTGTTCACTGGATGTTAATTCTTTTGGGTGCTATTTTTCAAAGTTTTGTGTTGTGTCTACATGGAGGTATTCTGTAGAACTCAGACTTCAGTGATACTCTTGTCATCGGATGTGAATTCAAGCGATAGATTGAAGCCATTGGATGAAGATATAGTCAGACAGTTGATCAATAATTATTAGTAAGGAAACCACCACATTGATCGGTTTCTAACAGGCATTAGAAATGACGCGTAGGACGTATTAGGAGGATTCGCCCAAAACATTATTTGAATAAGGAATATTTCCAACTCCATGATCATTCAGTATTCTGATTTTCGGTACTCTTCTGCATTTTCCACACTAACAATTCTGAATGACTTCTTGTGAATGTGTTCTGGCGATACCTGAATAGAGAAAGAGGGAGAGAAAGAGACAAGTAAACTGACATTGTCGTGTCAGTCAAATTCATGCATAACAGTGAAACCGGTCGTATTGTATGGAAAATACTACAGTGACAAGCTCTGACGAAGGTTGTACCATCTTAAGTAAAGATAGGCTAGAGATGGTAAGCGTAGACGAGGAGTTCTGAGGTTGTCCAGAGCATCCCAAGTGACAAGCATGTCATGAACAATGGGAAATTATTATTGTCGTCCGCGTTGATATTATTTAACCAGGTGTTGAATGAATACAGAGGAGACTAGAGGACGGGAGAATTTTGAAATTGTGACAACCAATCTCGCTCAATTCAGGCTCTTCATTCTGTCGATCTTACCCACCCGATCGGACAAAAGTGGTAGATAATAGACGAATGATTGTCGTGGACAGCAGTAAGAAAACAAATGGGTGAATGTTTGGTTATGTGACAGCAGTTCACCGATTTAAACCATTACTACACCCAATGATTTCCGATTTTAACCATTATTTAACCAGAATTTGCCCACTTTTGTCCGTCTGAGGATGATCAAGTAATCTTCCAACCACTCGTCTTTCGACCTAGATAATAATATCCATGTTACACGCCACAACCAAGTTCATCACAGCTGACTTATTATCTCAAAATATTTGTAGGAATTATCGTCATTAAGATAAGTATTTCTATGTGAGGGGCGAAGTGTATTGTCACTGAGATTCAATAAAAGTCTCCAGGATGTCCTTCTGCGATCACACGACTGAAGAAATACATCGTGGTGCATTTTAGGATCGCTTCATATGTGAAAATCTGGAAGTCACGTCATCGTCTAGAAGAATCGAAATGGCAAGCTTCAATAGGTCGGTCTCTCCAACTGCTTTAAAACAACTCTCGTAAACTCTCAGCTATTCAAGATTTCCTATATTCTCAATGGATACTTTGTCCCAATCTCGATTTCCACTTGTAGATTTCGCGCTGACACAGACACAACATTGAATGACGAGTATCCTGATGATAATAACAATAATCTTTGGACATCCAGAAAATCACAGAACAGACTGTATGGAAGCGTGTATATTCCGAAGCACAGATCCAATCTTGTTCCAAGTACGCAAGATTCACTCGGATATCAGAGAATTTTGCCAATAATCAAGGTGAGAGAGTTATTCATATAAGGACATAAAATTTAGACACACTGGTGTGGTATAATCTGATTATGGATAAAACTTTATTTTCACAAAGTCACACAGTGTCATACACTAATATTTACTGATGACGTTTCGAGTACAATTTATTGCTCATGATCACATCAACGCACTCACATGTCATTCTTGCTTCCTTGATCAGTTGATCAGACATTTGAAGAGAACCAATATAAGACTTGAGTGAAACGGAAAGGAAGATAAAGCACATTTGGAAATAATACCAGTTTTATCAATAAAATACAATAGGATGGGAAATAAGACGAGTGTTGTTAGTCATTAAGATAGGAAATAAGATGTTTTCCTACACAGTAAAAATAAGTAGCATGTTAGAATGTTATAATGTGAATTGAATGCATTTTAACATTATTTATTATCCTCCTCTGGTTTGACTGGTAGTAATATCTTCCATATATCTGGTATTTGCACTGAGTTACTTCTATTGCATGTGTTGGGTGTAGACTCGATGAACCAGGATTCGGTAATCAATCTATGTCTCCACCTACCTACCTACCTACCTACCTACCTATATGGCTTTTTAGAATTTCGACTCTGTCCCACCCACCCTACTGTGTGGTTGAGTGTTAAAGCATGCAGTGCGATTTCTAAGTTTTTTCTCAATTACTTATCATTATAACCGTGGCCTAATTCTTATGTTCTGATAATCTGACTACTCCTGATCTACCAGTTTGACCTATTTAGTTGACCTAACTCATAGTCACTGCCAGGTATTTGTCACAGAATTAGTAGTATTGGTGGCATTAGTAGTAGAAACAGAAGTAGTATTAAAACAAGAGACTAAATTTGACAGGAAAGCGGCCCTTCAATCAGTGCCAAACACTGGTTTACGTTCAAACCTGAAACGTCGAATAGAAAATCACATGTCAATATCCCGCCCGAATCTGTTAAACAAGATTTCAAGGCTGACAAATCGTGTCATTGTATAATATGCTTCCGGGTAAATGGAGGAGTCCACGGTTATAGCTGTGAAACATTTGTGATACTATTGTGTTAACATTCACGTAAATGTACGCGAAATGTGTCTCCGGCTTTGATTAACTTCTGCATATATTGAAAGTCATCTATTCTCCTGTCGTAGGTAGTATATTCCTTTCCCATCCAAAATGTCACAATATTTATTATAATAAACGTTTTTTGTATTTCCCAATGAATGAAAACCAAAACGATATTGTTTTTACTGACGTTTCGCTATTTAATTCTAATCGTTTCTCAAAGTATTATTAAACCGGAATTTACAAAATCTCAGCATATATATAACAAAGAGTTAGGGAGTGAGAAAGTAGACTTAGGTCAAGTTGAAAGGGCATATTGAAAGTCAAAATAACAATGAAGATCACTAAACCAAATATCAAAGGTAATAGTACATCTGTTATGATATCAAAATAAAGTTTACTAACTTGATCATGGTTTGTTAATCTGATGTCATTTTCGATTGTCAAGTTGGTAATTTGATAAAGAAAACAAAATTAAGTGTACACTGCAAAACACATTCTCACACTCTAACTCTTTGTTATATATATGCTGAGATTTTGTAAATTCCGGTTAACTAATTCTTTGAGGAAATATTAGCATTAAATAGCGAAAAGTCAGTAAAAACAATTTCGTATAGTTTTTCACACATTGAGAAATACAAAAAAATTATTTTATGGTATTTCGCACATAGTCAGGTGCGACCACCTTTCCTCACCATTCGTCTCCGCATATCTCATGTAATTATAATGAAATATTGCCTACAATAATAACACACTCCTGCTTTTTCTTCCATAGACATCAAAGCACGCCAATGATGCTTCATCGGAAACGTCTGTAGAATCATCGTCAACCTATGGTTCAGAAATGGAAACATCCCCAGATTCACCAAACTCAACTGAAGGTTTACAAGCCACTGAAAACACACAGACGTGTAGTGATGAAGTTTTTGACAAAGAAGGACAGATTGGAATTCTCCTAAGTCCAATATTCAGATTTAGAAACTATGACAGTGAAGATATTTACAAGGTGACGCAACCAACACCAAAATCACCTGCCGCAACTCGTCGCCTTCCTTTACCTCAACTCCACGCTCCGCGAAAACCACCGCTGCCACCAATTTGTTTCCGAGTCCCGCGACCACCCTTTTCAAAACCTCTACCACCATCCTTTCTACCGCCTTTGTTCACCGGTTTCAACAATTCAGGCCCACCACTGCCTGGTGAGTTAACGTTCTAACTCATTTGTCAATGTACTTTACTTTGGTGTAGTACCAAAATGGTGAATATGTGTTCTTCATCTTCATATTATCATAGGTTGCCTTTTACTCATAGCAGTCACATCCTTCAGCTAGATGCAAGCATGAGGACAGTAAACATCCATCAGCAGTGATCTGAAATATAAAGAGTCACAGATATGCACCAAATGACTGGGGAGTACTGAACAGCCGCCTAGTCCATGTTCCAGACTCTTCAGCAGTATGTGCCCATCACCCCACCACGGATCGAACCAATGACCTGTGGGTTACAAGATGAACCCGTAAACCATCACACCACTAGGACGTCACCTGACCTGTCAGACACATTATACTCTGGACGTCTATCAATTGACTGACTGAAACAGAAAGCAGGCGTATAAACGAATTTCATTGCTAGGCACAGAGCCAATGATAGTGATAAAGAGTGGCACATTCTCTAGGTTTATGCCTACCAGGGATTGGATACTCCTCAGCCTTGAATTCATCATATTACTGTATAGTGAATATGTAAGTTCAACCGCTATAACGCGTTAAATAGAAACCGACATTCAGGAAAAAATCATGTGATGAAGCTTGTAGAGTATTTCCATTATGGAGAAGATTTTATTTCGATAAATCACACTGTGTTATATTTTTTTTTTTTTTTTTTTTTTTTTTTTTTTTTTTTTTTTTTTTTTTTTTTTTTTTTTTTTTTTTTTTTTTTTTTTTTTTTTTTTTTTTTTTTTTTTTTTTTTTTTTTTTTTTTTTTTTTTTTTTTTTTTTTTTTTTTTTTTTTTTTTTTTTTTTTTTTTTTTTTTTTTTTTTTTTTTTTTTTTTTTTTTTTTTTTTTTTTTTTTTTTTTTTTTTTTTTTTTTTTTTTTTTTTTTTTTTTTTTTTTTTTTTTTTTTTTTTTTTTTTTTTTTTTTTTTTTTTTTTTTTTTTTTTTTTTTTTTTTTTTTTTTTTTTTTTTTTTTTTTTAAGTAATATTTACTGATGACTTTTCGAGCACAAACTATTGCTCACATAACTTTTTCCTTCATTTCTACACATGTGTGGAATCGATTTAATATTGGAATTAAAATCAATATAGGATAATGTACACTCAGAATTATTAATATGAGTGTTTCATACATTTATTCGCCTAATGAATTTGACCAAATCAAGAACTACAGTTTTAGCAGAATAAAATGGTTTCATCTTTTATTTCGTTGCCTTCCCATCAGCTACTTACATGATAAAGACATTAGTAAATATATCTACAACAACATTTTTGACATACTTGCACAAAGTTCATTTTAAGCAAAAATCAATAGATCACTATACGCATAGACCAAAATTATACATATATAAATATTTGCAATATTAAACGCTATTCTGAAAAATAATAATAATTTTCTGAACATGTACCAAAATGCTTACATCTAAAGGGAACAAATGCTTTAAACAGTGCCATCGCCAGGCATCTCCTCGACAAGGGTCATGAGGTGGACGTCGAAAAGTCGTTCAAAATTGTCAGTAGGCAAAAGAGCTCAATTGTCCCTAAGTTTGCTGAAGCCATTTCCATCAAGCGCCTGAAACCTGATTTATGCGTCCAGAAAGAAGCGGTTAGCAGTCTTTCTTTGCCCTGGTAACTGGATATTTTCACATCTCTTTCTTCCGAATGCGAAATGCTAAAAGTCTCCATTGTGTATGATTATCATTTTTCGGAATAGAGTTTAATATTGCATATTTATATATGTATAATTTTGGTCTATGCGTATAGTGATCTATTGATTTTTGCTTAAAATGAACTTTGTGCAAGTATGTCAAAATTGTTGTTGTAGATATATTTACTAATGTCTTTATCATGTAAGTAGCTGACGGGAAGGCAACGAAATAAAAGATGAAACCACTTTATTCTGCTAAAACTGTAGTTCTTGCTTTGTTTAAATATGAGTGTTATTGATCGATTTCAATCAGATGGGAAATACGACGAGTGTTTTTATAGTCATAATAAGTAACATGATAGAATGTTGTGATGCGCTTGAATTGAAGTAGAATTTTAAGATTATTTATTATCCTCTTCTGATTTGACTAGCGGTAATAATATCTTGCACATTTCTGGTGTTTGCATTGAGTCAATTCTGTTGCATGTGATGGGTGTAGACTCGATGAACAAGGATTGAGTAATGAACCTCCCTCTTTACCTTCCTATATTACTTCTTAGAATTTTAAACCTTTTCCACCACATTGTGTGGTTGTGTGTTAATGCATGCAGTGCTGAGCTTTTTTCTAAATTACTTATCTTCTCGGGGTCAAACATTCTTACCTTAGCTAAATTCTTATGTTCCAACAATCTGACCACCCCTGACCTACTAGTTTGATCTATGTAGTTGACCTCACTCACAGTCATTTCAGGGTATTTTGTAAATTATATTATTTTATCTAATTGGGTCAACCGACGGGGTCCTTTAACCTACAGAGCTTGTCCCTGAGTGAGTTTGTAGGTTTGAATGCCATCTTAATTCCTGCTTTATTAAGAATCATACGTAGGGTCGTAGATGTCCTCTCCTTATATGGTATAACAGTAGATGACTTATATTCTCTCTATTATTTATGTCATCATTACTAGTTTCATAATTATTTTTATTATGTTTTTGGCCTTTACTGATCTTCCTAATGAACTTTATAGGATATTTAGTCATTTGATACCAGTGCTTCTTCTATACGTTTTATTTCATCATTTAGGTCTTTGCTTGTGCAACCTAGTGCTATTGCTCGGTTTGTTAGACACTTAACTAAGCCTGCCCCAACAGTTAACGGATGAGATAAATTAAAGTCTAAATATTTATTAGAATGCTTTGGTTTTTTATAGATGCTGGTATGCAGTTTACCTTCTTCCATTCGTTTTATCTTACATAGCTTATTCTCCTTGTTTATTTTTCGATTCAAATGTGAATTTTATTCCCTCTAATAGTGAGTTTATGTGTCAAGATGCTAGAGATACGTTCTGTTTTTAACACTATGAAAGTGTCCTCCACATATCTCCACTATATTTTTGTAGTAGGATTGAATGTTATAAGAGCCATATTTTCCCAGCTGTTCATAAATATATCTGATACGATAGGGGGTATTGGTGATCCCATTGCTACACCTTCTGTTTGACTATATATTTTGCCTTGGAATTTAAAGATATTAGATGTGAAGTATAACTGAATCACTAAAATAATTTCTTCAATGGGCAGCTTTGTCCTATGCGTGAGTTCGGGATCTGCAGTTAGTTTCTTTTTAATTGCTTCTAGGACCACATTGACTGGTATATTAATATAAAGACTAGTTATATCAAAACTAACCATTGTTTCATCATTCTCTAGTTGAATGTCATTTAGTTTATTTTTCCTCTCATATGAATTAGTTAATCTAGAGTTTGAACAAGTTCTAATGGGGCATAATATTAGAGCTAAGTGTTTTGATAATTCATGAGTAGAGGTATTTCTGAAATCTACTATTGGTCGTATAGGTTAAACCTGGCTTATGTATTTTAATAGTACCATACATTCTACTAGCATTATTACTTTTAGGCATTAAATTAGGCCATTTTGACTCACCCATTGATGGCTTCATTCTGCATATTAATTCCGCTGTAGGTTTCTTTACCTTATTCATTATTGTATCTACAGGTTTCTTAATTTCCTTATATGGACCAGTTTCAATATGTTCACTGACTTTCTTGATATAGTCAGATTTATCCAAAACTACTGTAGAGTTTCCTTTGTCAGGTTTTCTGATGACAATATTTTTATCCTGATTTAGACTGATTCGAGCTAGTCTTTCTGATGTTGTTAAGTAAGTTTGATTTTGCCTTCGTTTTTTTTTTTTTTTTTTTAATTTCTCAGGGTTAATGCACATTCAGCTTGAACCTCTTCTGCTGTCGTCACATCAATTTAACTTAGTGCTACTTCTGTGTTAGGAGTGAAATCCTCTGGTTTTAATTTACTAACTGTTACATTGAAGTTTAGTCGCTTTTCAAGTATTTTTATATCACTACAGCTTGGTTCCCTTGATGAGAGGTTGATCACCCATGTTGTTCTGTCGATAGAGGATGAAACGTTGACGTCGGTTTCACTTATGGTGTAGCTTGAAAATCCCGATTGATTCATATGAAAAAGAGAAGACGTTCAGCGAAGAGGCTCTTTTCGGTGAACGTCATCACTTTTTCATTTATTGCGCTCTTTTCCTCCATTATTTTGTTGAATATTTTTATTTGTGAGGTTTCGAAATAGAGACTGACTTTCAGGAAAAATCATGTGGTGAAGCTTGTAGAGTATTTCCATTATGGATAAGATTTTATTTCGATGAATCACACATTGTTATACAGTAATATTTACTGATGACGTTTCCAGCACAAACTAACTTAATTCTGGTTCTCTAGCTTTTTCGCATGTTTCAACAACAATTACGTAATCTTTGTCATTGACCATACATTTGAGTTTGTGTTTGAGTTTTTCAATTTCATTTCGTATATTGTTTAGTCTCACAGTAATTCGATGTAGTTCTTCTCTTAGGCATAATCTACTGACATGTTCGGCTGCTGATGTTATTTTTCTTGAAGTAATTGGAGTACGTAGGCGTAAATATTTTGAAATTATATGTATGTGTATATAAATGAAGGAAAACAGTTGTGTGAGTAACTTGATATGGTTATGAGTGGCCATAGTCTGTACTCGAAACGTCATCAGTTATTATTATTGTATAACAGTGTGATTTATCAAAATAAGCTCTTTTCCAAAATGGAGTTATACTCTACCACAGTGACGACGTTTTATACTTATGTGGAGTATTTCACCTACCGATTATGCACAGACAACTCCTATCTGGCCGATTAGTTTTACGCCACCACTTGATTCGTGATGCCAGCCATAAATTGAATATCTGATTTCTCTCAGAGTCAATTACCTACTAATCTTAAGTCATTTCAATAATATACACTTCGGTATATTAATTCT